AGGAAAAAAATCAATTCAATATAAAGTGATTGTTGAAGAGTTACCTTTTAAAGATAATGTTCTTTCTTGAAAGAAAGTTCTTGTTCTCATAAGTTGTAGAATAAGGATATGGTGAACTTAAAGGTGTAGATTTGATAGTTTTTGTTAGGCAGACAAGAACTGGCCTTATATGACAGAATAATAAAAGGGAAGACTGTGGAAGGACCTGTAAGTTGCATGTAAAGCACTGAGAGGCTACAGATATCATTGTTCTCTGCATTTCAGGTGTGATACGCAAAGAAATCATAAAGACAAAAAAAAATAGAGTAAAATTAAGAAAAGGCAGAACAAAGTGGTCCGAAGAACCAGAAACTTAAATGCTGTAAATGTTTTAATGTAATAATAAATTGATCTTTAAAATAAAGAGCTGAAAGCAAAATATTATTATAGTCTTATCCATATTATGCTTACTAGGGCAGACTACACAGTTATTCTTTGATAACTGGTCAGTGGAGAAGTCTTTAATGTAGTATAGATCTGACAAGTCAGTCTGTCAAGATGCTGTGCTTGACCTTTTTGAATTGAGGAAGGGTTATGGTTATATTAAAAATAAGATTCTTCCCTTTTGCCTGAAGTGACTTGACATAGACTGAGGCATTGTGAATTGTGATTTCTGCCTTGCTGAATTTGAATTGACATGGAGCTGGCCCCGAAAATCGATCAGAGAGAAAAGATGAGAGATAGACATGTATGGAATAGAAATGGTGATCCCTAGTTTTTGGAGTAAAGATTGAACTGTCTGTGTGTGCATGGTGGGAGGGATCTAGTGAGAATATCAAGAGAAGTACAAGACCATGGATGAAAATATGTGAAACTGTAGGATGCTGGGTTTGAATTATGATGTAGGTCTTCCAAAAGAGATGCCGAAGAAGGATGCATTGCAACTCTTGAACATTTTCTGCTTTCATAATAAGTAGACTATTAAATACTTAAGATATATCTTTGTAGTATAGCATTGTAGCATTTCACCTATGTAAATAAACACTTTTGGAATACTGGAGATGCACAGTAACTTTCTTAAAACCTTACATAAAAGGTTATATTTTGACTAAGCATTAAAAGATTACATAGATTAATCTTACTCTGTCTGCTTCATAGATTTTGAAGATGATGATGTATATGGCCAATCAGTAGAAGATGACTATTGCATTTCTCCTTCAACAGGTTAGTTCAAGTGATTACAAATAGGCATTCGTATTCCGTCATGAACTCCTGTATGTTCTGTGCAGTCATGTTTCCCTATCCTGCTCCTTTCCTCTGATCTGCGGAATCATTGCAATCATCGCAAAAAGTTAGCATCCTAGCTTTTCTGTGCATAGGCTTCCTTTTTAAAGGAAGAAAAAAATTAAACATACTTAATCCTTTTTTTTTCCCCCCACAATGTAGCAGCTCAGTTTATCTACTCGAGGAGAGACAAGCCAGCAGCATTTGCTGAGCCGTTAGAAGAGGAATATGGCTATGAAGGAGCAGAGGATGCTGCTGATTACTTTACGACCAATCACCAGTTGTCTGGAGTTGATAGAGGTAATTATAGAGCAATAATAATTCGTTTTAGAGATGTTTCTCTTATGTGTAAAGACTTGCTGAAATAGTCTCAAATTAGCATTTTTTTTCCTTGACTGACTTAAACTACTTACATTTTGGAATTTCATACTAGCACAGCACCTTCTGTGAGTATATCTGGTGGAGAAACACCTCTTCAGCAATGATTCTTTAAGCTCTTAGCTACCTTCTCATATATTACTTAAAATTTGCTAGCACACTCTAGAATATGTTCTGAGTTTCAGTCTGAAAATAGTGAAATTGCATATGGAATTCAAAGATAAGAACACCTCTCCTGGTTGGACCAGGAGTCCATCTAGCTTAATAACTTGACTCCACAAGTGGGTGCGAAGGAAAAAGCATGAGAAACAGGGTATTTGTATGATTATTGTCCTGTAATGCCTTCCAGATTATGGCAATTGACAGTATTTAAAATGATTTCAGTCAGATGTTTCCTTGAACCAACACACAATAGCTTTGGATACCTGCGCCATTTACAATCTTGTCTGATCCTGTTTTGAACCCATTAGACTTTGATTTCCATTCAGTCCTGCAGCCATGAATTCCATGTTATATGAGTTCTGTATGGAGGGAATAATGCTTGATTTTAAACTTGTGGGCTGATTGCTCAATTAATTACAAAAAAAATGCCCAACTCTTTCCTAAGTAGTAATGGAATAGCCAACTTATTTTGTGATTTTTGTAGGGTAAATCGGGGTTATTTTTGATGTATTAATGCACATAGAATAAGGCATGTTTCTGAATGATGAAGCAATAAACTTCCATGAAATTTTAGTGCAGCAGACAGTTCTGGATTCAATATCAAGTAAACTGGTAGAAGCTATGATAATTCATAGACATATAAGTAAATATGGTAAATTGGAGTTTCCTTAAGTAAACTTTGCTCAAATTCTGAAAACAATTTTGTTATATATCTTTGTAGTAGAATTTGATTGTCTAAGATCTTTGAGAATTTCGTTTCCATTGATAGGAATACAGAAAGCTGCTACAAAGCAAAAAAAGGATTATATGACCCTGAAAAAGTATGACAGTTCTAGGAAAGGTAAAGATTGTAGAAAATTTGGAAGCTGGAGTGTTAATCCAGAGTCACTATTTATATAGAATCATAGAATCACAGAATGCTTAAGGTTGGAAGGGACCTCTAGAGATCATCTAGTCCAACCCCCCTGCACACGCAGGGTCACCTAGAGCACGTGGCACAGGACTGCGTCCAAGCGGGTTTTGAAGATCTCCAGAGAAGGAGACTCCACAACCTCTCTGGGCAGCCTGTTCCAGTGCTCTGTCACCCTCACTTTTAATAATTTTTTCCTTATGTTCCTGTGGAACTTTTGATGCTTCAGTTTCCGTCCGTTTCCTCTAGATCTGTCGGTGGCCACCACTGAAAAGAGGCCAGCACCATCCTCCCTGCTGCCTCCCTTGAGGTACTTATAGACACTGATCAGATCCCCTCTCAGCCTTCTCTTCTCCAGGCGGAACAGGCCCAGCTCCCTCAGCCTCTCCTCATAGGGCAGATGTTCCAGGCCCCTGATCATCCTTGTAGCCCTGCGCTGGACTCTCTCCAGCAGCTCCACATCCCTCTTGTACTGTGGGGCCCAGAACTGGACACAATACTCCAGATGTGGCCTCACCAGGGCTGAGTAGAGGGGCAGGATCACCTCCCTCGGCCTGCTAAGGAAGTTGCATTGATTTTATTTACCTCTCAATTCTGGGCTACCTTTAATTTCTTTACCTATCTTTATTTCTATTTTGAAAACCGAGACCTGAATAAACACTGTTTACTTTGGATGTTAGTTATAGCATTTGTAAACACTTAATTTGTGCTGTTAAATGGAATTCCACATTGACATGCTAAATTACTATGAATAATTTTAGGGTGGTTATTTGCACCTCTTCTCAGCAGTTAAACTAGTTAATTTTTATAGGATCGAACTATTTCAGTGTTGAAAACTTAATGATCAGTATATGGTAGTGAATGATGGTTCTATATTGCAATGTTTTAAATTAATCTAATGTTCTGCAGGTTTTGAGGGTAAAGCCTATTATGAAAAAAGTGAGATTGAAGTTGAATTAAGGTTTTATCTCTTAACATGATAATTCTTTCCAGTTTTTATTATCAGATGTGTGGTGTTAGTGGTTAGACCACTTTATAAGCTACAAAAGAAATGTTTTAATAACACTAAAATGTCTCTTTTAGCCCGTCTTAATTCATGCCTTGATCAAATGAGAGAAGTTTTGGGAGAAACTGTACCAGAGCAAACAATGGTGCAAGCAGTATTGGACAGTAAATTTGATGTACAGAAGGCTTTGGATCTTGTGCTTTCACAAGACACTAAGCAAAATGTGAAGACGAAGAATGAGGACCCTGTGATTATAGGAAAGATGACAAAAGGTACACTTTAATTGTGTGTGGCTTTAGGATGATTCATTTCTATATACACTGTAAATTTGGCTTTAAAAACCATGAAGGTGGCCATGCTAGTCATTCCTAAGAATTATGTAAGGCCATCTTTTCTAAATAATTGTATCCTAAAAATTTAGAGGAAACAGCTTTACTTGAGCTGCAAGTCAGAATAAAACCTGAATCTCATCTTAAATACAAACTGTAAGCAACCACCTGCAGTTTACAGTAAATTTCTGTCTTCTAATAAATGACTTTAACTGCGTGAATACATGTCCTAGAAGTGGGACAACATCTTTAAAAGTTTTGTGTACTTCGAATGTTTCTTTGTTCAGCAAATACTCACTCCTTCCCCTTTTTCCCCGGACCCATACCTCTCCTTTTTGATAGTGTTTTTATAGTAATTTCTTGTTTTGATTCATATGTAAACCATAATATCTGTGCTGACATTTCTTAAGTATTTTTTTTTTTTTGTAAACTTCCATGGTACTTGAGTAAATATCCATCATTTAATTGAATATTAGATCAGGTTGCCCAGAGAGGCTATGGAGTCTCCGTCCTTGGAGATGATCAAAACCAGACTGGATGTGGTCCTGGGCAACCTACTCTAGCTGACCCTGCTTCAGCGGGGAAGGTGGGCCAGGTGATCTCCAGAAGTCCCTTCAAACCTCAACTGTTCTGCAATTCTGTAATTGTGTGTATAATGATGCACATTTTTCAATAACATTTAGTAATTAAATGCCTTTCCATGTTTTTTTCTTTGCTGCTGCTGTCTACTTAAAAATAAAAATGGATGTTTCATTGCGACCATGCTTCTATCCGAAAATTATTGGCTCTTGTAAGGTAAGGAGACTTACTTTGTTGTCCAGAAGTATTTGTTAATACAGAAAATGTCTCTTGTGCAGTAGAAAATGTTGCTGAGAACACCAACACCTCTGGCCTTGGAAACCAGACAGCCAAAAGCAATTCAGCTTCTTGCTCTTCATTTACCAATGACAAAATGCTTCCTAATGCTAAAATATCCAATATACCTTTATCTGAAAAGAAAGGTTTGAAATCCTCTTCGCTTGCTATATCATCTTGTTTCAGTGATGATTTGGGTAAAGGATTGTTGTATGAACCTGTGAATAAGCAGGCAGGGGATCCACTCCCAAAAAGTGCTAATGCAGTAAGTTCGATTCTTGGCAGTGAAAATGCTTACTTTGGTATAGGAAGTAACACATCTGGAAAGACTTCCTTTAAGAAGCCGGAATGCAAGGAAATACAGGACTTGAAATCCTTGCTGATGCAGAATGTGATTTGTGAAGACAGCATTTCTTCAGATACTTACGATTGTCATAGTAATGCAAATTTTGGTAGTCCTCATGGTTTAGCAAGTCCTTTAGGAAAATTAGCTCTTGATTCTGGAGTCAGTCATCCTGTAAATAGAAGGAATGAACTTGAAAATTTGTCTTTGCTTAAACAAGATAGAAAACAGGAAAGTCCCTCTTTAGCGATGGCCGCTTTGCCAGTGTCCAAGTCTGGAGGTGCCTCACTGGCTGACTTGCTTCAGGCGCACCAGGAAAGCAGTGCAACCTGCTGTTATTCTTTGGCTGATCTTTATGCCCAGTCAACAGCGAGTCTCACGGATATGAAATTGGGAACCTCATCATTATCACAACTAGTAAGTCAACCTCAAACTTCAGGTGTGATACCAGAACTAACAGAATCGTTGTCTTCTCTAGCCCTCTCCAAAGTTTCTCCAGTGAAGGATTTTGAGAGTTTGTCACTGTCAGATTTAATTGCGGAGACTATTGAAGTAGATAAAACTCAACAAGGAAAGGACTTCATGCAAAGTGTAACTGAGGTGAAGCCTTCTAAAAGAGCAAAAATTGACTTAAGTAGCACTATAAAAAAAGCAGATACATCAGTAGAACAAAATGCAGTAGGACAATCAAATGTCTTAGTCCCAGAAACTAAAGATTTAAATACAAAGCAAGGAAAGTGTTCTGTTTTTGCTAAAACAAATAAAAAAAGCAAAAAAGGGTTCATTCCTCAGAGGCAGGATTTGACCCCTTCATGGGTGAAGGCGCTGCATGCGAGACCTTCACCTTTCGCTTTAACCTTGTGTCTCTGTTACCCGCCAAAAGGTTATAAGCGGCGTGTGGTGGGTGTGCATAAAGCTTTCCTATACAGTAGACAAGTGCAAGAAGTGAAACCCGAGGAAACTGGTCCTGTAGTAGCCATAACGCCCTTTGACTTCCAATCAGCCTCTCCTGATGATATTGTGAAAGCCAAACAAAAAAAAGCTTTTATAAGAGAGTAGTACAAAACATGGGAAGGAATCAGTGCTTATGTCTTTGTATCTTAAAAAAATCAAGAAATAAATTTTATATGGAATCTATTTATAGTCCAGAATTAAAATTGTTTATTTTTTTAACAATATCTATGACAATTACCGTTACATTAGTAACTAATTTGTATGTGAACTTTTAAGCTGTTGCACTGGATTTCCCTCCTTTTTTCTGTAATTTTCACTGACAATTTAACATTTTTAACTTTACAAAATCTTGGACTTTAGAAAATAGGAATTGCTTGTATAAGCCTCTATAAACACAAGTAGACTTCTTTATACACCTTTCTTGGTGTTCAAAATATACTTCATTGAGAAGAACGCTAAATTAGTATTTTTAAAAAATCATTAATTTTGCTATATGGTGTATGTTTCTGGGTAAGGAGAACCTCTGTTTATCTTAGACATTTATTTTATTAAGTGTTCATGAAGTTTTCTGATAAGGTATGTTATTAAACTGTCAGCTCATAATTGGTATTTTCAGTTGATGTCACTTCTGTGATCGTTCTGGTTTCAATGTTATAACACAATTGCCTTCAATTTTTAATAGGCTCACTGACCTCTGTTTTTAATAGTTGTGGTTATGATAGGACACACAACTTTTGATAGGACACGTATAGCTTTTGACAGGACCAAATTTATAGGGCATCACTTAAAGCAGAAATTGTGTGCCTGTTCACTTTCCCAGCAAATGTCAAAATGGCATATTGAGAATTTTGGAATACCTATTCTGCAGTTGTTTCATGTAGCCTATGTTTCATGAGAAGTTTCAGTAGGATTCTGTGGTTTATTTTGGAGTCTGTCAGACTCCAGAGGAATTTTGGAATAACAGTTCTCCTCTCAATGTTGGCATGACAGTCTTCAGTTAAGGAGGGGGATTAAAACAAACAAACAAACAAAAAACAAACAAACAAACAAACAAAAAAGAATTTCAGGCAAAGCAGAGGTGATTTTTGTATCTGTCTTGTCTGTTTTGGAGAAAGCTCCCTTAATAGTGGAAATGTGTTCTCTTCCATTGTTGGCCTTTGTGGCTCTTACTTTTAAACTTTAGAAGATCAAAATCAGACCATTTAAGACTTTTTTTTTTTGTTAAGATTGTAATTAGCAAGTTCTGATGCACCTGTTAGGCATGCATGTTAGACATATGTTCATACATAAATTGCCATACACTTATCCATCCTAAAGTTGGCAGCTAATATGGAACAGTAGGTTCAATTTTAAATCTGATTTTAGTTCGCTATCAAAAAGATGACAAACACAGATTTATTCCTGACTTCAGGTTGCACTATAGTCTTATTTTTAAATAAAAATAAAACATGTTCCAGTGCTCTCAGGTACAAATTTCCTGTTGTGTATATTTTGTCTCATTGACGCTTTGCTTTAATCTCATTTAGAGGCTCTGAATAGGATATATTTTATTTTTTTAATAATAGTTTGACCTCTCACCTTTTGAATGAATGTTTCTTATCCTAACTAATAAAAATTTTATATAATGACAGCGTTGCAGTGTTTATGTTCTAGACGACATGTTTGGTCTAGCCATCTGTATTATTGCATATTTTAGGTGCCTTAAAAGTCTAAATTGTAAATAGTGCGGTGTGATGTACATACTGTGCTCTGAGACCTTCAAGACCAGGATTAGATTTCTTTCCCTTTTGCTTCAGGACCTCTCTTTCCTCTATAAACCAAATCCTGGTAGTTTCTCAAACCTGCTTCAACAGATTGTGATATTGCAACCTGCTTAAGGTTTGAGAGAATAAGGTTTGTGAAAGTCTGGTTGATACTGATGGTACACTGGTTGTATAATTAATAAGCCTTCATATCTAGTTCTGCTTCTTGACTAATATGCAATGCCTTTCACTTCAGCGGTCCTTTTTCTGCAATTAGTCCAAGTATGAGCTTTTCGCTGTTTAAAAGTGCAAGTTTATTTTTCCCATCAGGAGGAGAGATCCTATTTGGAGTATTTAGAAGTAATATTTTTCAAAAATGAAGTGTATTCTTCTAGTAGAGAAATTTTATTTTATTTTTAAAACAATGCAAAGTCTGCTACAGTTCTGCCTGTTAGATGATTTGAATTTCTTATCTTCAAAATTCTCGTAGGGCCCTACTTTATGTTTCTGGAGGCAGGGTTTTGTAATGCGAACGCTTTCTAAATTTTCGTAGGATAGCTTTTTGCTGTCACTGTTTGTTTATCTAACTCCCAAATCCTCTCTTTTGTTCTTCCTGCTGGGCTTTTTCATTATTTTGGTCTGTTTTTTCATTTGACTGCTGCTTTTTTTTCCCAAAACTTTTTAGCATTTCTAGTAGTTATAGAACATACACCTAAGTTATAACCTGTGGATTCATTTGTAAAGTATGTATAAATAATATGTGTACTTGGAATTTTTTTTGAGGGCATGGGATTTATGTAGATACAGTGTTGGAACAAGTAGCCGAAGCCAGAGGGCATCAGCATAGTATGTTTTTTGTGGATCTTTCTGGGGAAATAGGTGTCTTAGCAAGCAACTTTGGATCTTGTTAGGTAACTAGATTTTCATATATTTGATGGTATTGGTGGGGTGAGGGATTATTCTTCGGTGTGCGATCCTGAATCCCGAAGTAAACCCTGAATTAGTACAAACCTGCAGACTGAACACAACAAAAATGCAAAGTAATGTATAAGCCTGAATTCCACTTATTTTTCAGCAGAGATTAGTTATTTCTGTGTATGGAAAATTACACTTAAAAAAAAAAAAAACCCAAAAGATAATGTGTTATTGTATCCGCTTTTTAAATGAAACAGGTATGTTAATTTTCTTGATGAGAACCAGGTTTGGGTGATCGGTGGCAGTTTTTTTTTTTTTTTTTTTAAGTTTGCTGCTTAATACGACATGTAGTGTTCTTGTATAAGAGCTGTGTATATGGTCTTTGTACTGAAGTGTTTCTGCCTAATGAATGCTATGAATGCTAAAATTGTTAATCAAACCTGTGTTTTTATGCTTAAAATAATCGGCTTTTCCCATTTTGCAGTTAGTTTGCATCTCTGTATAATATGGTTTAGCTGTATTTGTTTTAGAATTTACATATTAATATTGTACGAGTGTCTGTGTCCATATATGGGTGTACAAAAGAAAATATTAAACTACAAAGACATGCAGCTTCTAGTGTTCAGGCTGTATACCTTCAAGGTATTTTGTACATTAAATTTAATTTGTACATAATTTTTAATTACTGACTGCATAATATTTTAATATAAAATTGTCTTGTGGATATTGCTTTATGTACCTGAATAAAATGTATATTCTTAAAGGACTGACTTTAATTACAATTTATTTACAGCTTATGGAATAGTTATGACTGAATGGGCTATGAAGATTGCTTTTATTGTGTAAGCAGCCTCTGGTCTTGGCTAGGGTTGCCTAGGCATATTTCTACCACGGAAGATCTCTTTGGAGAATGTCAAAAACTGGCATCTACCACTATCTTCCAATACTGTATTGGTGCTCCAATTTGCTTTTGGCTAGAATTGTTTTTAAGTAGCTGATAAAATTTATTAGAGCCTTAAAATGGACAGCGTAGTAGTGAAGTATGGAAAAATAACTGTCTAATACTAATTCTCCAGCTCTTTGCTACCACTGAAATTGATCATTTCAAGAACTGCTACACTTGATTTGTTTAAAAACTGTTTATAAATGTCTCTTCCATTTTTCCTTTAGGCTTACTTTCTCTGGGCTAGATTCAGAATCAAGCTGAATTCTAGCTGAAGTTGTTTTGGAAAATCAGAGCAAAGTAAAAGTCAAACAAGTGTGAGAAAAGTAGGAAGATAACTACCCCCACTGGGAGATCAGAAATGATTGATGCTTTATACTCTCTAGGGCTTAGTTTAGTTTTATTTATTTTTTATTATTTTTTCATAACAAAAGCCATCTTTTTTGAATGGAGAATGTTACTGGAAATCTGTGCCTCAAATTCAGAAACGCATAATATTAAAAGCTGAAATATGTGGTTATTAATTTTTATTCAGAAGTACCTATATGAATAATGTCTCATTGAGCTGTTGAGACAATTCTCAGGATCTTAAGCTCCAAATGTAGCAGGCTACTTGAATACCTTGCCTAGTAATATTTTTGATTTTAGTGATCCATAAGTGAGAAGAGATCAAGATCTCTGTAATTGTGCAATTCTTGCAGGGGAAAAAAAATACTGTGAACTGAGCAAGAGAGTGTGTTCAGTTTGATAGCTGCTGGGGTAACCAGGATTCTTTTTGGTTTGCTTTGCTTTATTTATTTATTTTGTAAGTCATTTTCAGCTATCTTTGTGCGGGCAGCGCATACTTTGTGTTAGGGTTGTATCTTAATACTTTCTCCAGGATCAGGGCCCTTATATATGTATAAATGCTTAGTAAGAAGGAAGTTTCACAGTAAAAAGTCAAGATTAACAAGATAAATATTTTAACAAGATAAGTATTTTGAAAGAAAGGAGTAGAAATTGAAAAGCTAGGAGTACAGTGTAGGTGTCAGAAGCTCAAGTTCAATTTTTTGAGTGTTGGACTATGCTGCTCTGTTTTAGGTGCTAATAGAGAAGTAGATATTTGCTTATTGGTATTTGCTGTTCTCTTATGATTTCTACTAATAATAACTGTATTCAAGATTTTCAGGTACTTAGAATATCTGAGAATTACTGAATACCACCCATGAACTAAATGAATAGATGCTTTGAATACATTTTGTTAGTGATGTTTATCTTTCAGTTTTATAGAATTCTGTTTTTGTCTCTTCTGTACAAATATTTCCCTTCACTTTATTTTTACATGAAAAACAGAAATTCCATGAATGTTTCCAGAACCTGTTGGCTTAGATGTGAGTTCATGTAACCATCCTTTCCTCTTTATTCAGTTGAATACCGCTGGGTTTGTCTTTGGTTTGCAGTAATGAGGGATTTCCTAAGCCTGGGACAAATACTTGTTGGCCTTTTGGCTTTTTATGCTACAAAAGATCCTTTGGTAGCCAATACCTACCAGTGCACAGTACCAAAATGCAGATGGTAGCTTTTTGGTGCATCTGCTTTGTTGTTATGGACAGCCAAAGTGGGGAGTCTGAC